ATGCATGCATACATACATACTTACTACATACATACATACATACATACATACATACATACATACATACATGCATACGTGCATGCATGCATACATGCATACATACATACATACATACACACAAACTCACAACACACACGCACACACACACACACACACACGCACGCACGCGTGCATACCTGCACGCTTGCATACATGCATATGTACTAACTTACATATCTTGAACATGTCCTATAGGCCCTACAGTGAACCCCAAACTGTGACTTCAGGAAGACGGTGTTGCAATGAACAACTCCTGCTATCACACCGTGCTCCATGGTCCCGTAGCAAGAAATGAGCTTCCGGTGGCAGGGCCCATCTCAGCTAGGATGGAGCTTGGAGTGGGTCTGGAAATCTAATTTGGGGTCCAAGGTTTCGAGTTGATAGATTTGTGATCAAGGGTGTAAAAGTGTTTGGGTGCGTAGCTGGCCAGGCAAAAAGGTTTGGGGGGGGGGGGGTCGAGATTTGGACAAGGCTTGCCGCAGACGCCGAGCTTGTTTGTCATTCTCGTGCGTTTCCGCATGAACTCGTTCGAAAGCATTTGCGACACCCTGTGGGGAAGTATAATGTAATGGCGAGAGTTGGCTCACGAAGTGGGGTTGCTTTCCAAGGGTGCTTCGTCAGCTCATACGCAGAACCCGAGGACCAAGACATCCATCCATGAAACCCTGAAAGCATCACCCAAAACCCTACGTACGCTTTTGTCAGATTTGTAGCCCTGCCTATAGTGATTCGCTCAGCAATGCAGGAGGCAGACAGGCCCGGGAGCCCCCAAAAATTCCTGCACCACGAACCTATCCTGGCCACAAGGCTTTCGTTCCGAGGCCATAGACACAGACTTGTGAGATAGGTTTAGGTTAGGCGTGCAGCCACATAATTAAATACAGACCCTGACCCCGAAACACCCAAAAGGCCACGATCATGCCGGTGCAACTTCTTGGACAAACCTTTGCAGGAATCCAAAGCCTTTCGAGGTCCGAAGCACTTGACCTTGCAGGGGCGCCAGAAAAGACAACTTGTCGTTTTAGATGCTGTTCCTCAGGTACAATTCCGAAACCTATACAATTCCAATTTCCAAGCCTTAAGTTCAAGACCCTGAACCAAACCCTTGTGGAGCCCCTGTGGAACCTTCGGGAGAGCTCATCACAAACTCCGAGCCTTAAGGCTTGTCTTACTCCCCGGACTACCACGAGAGATGCTTCGAACTCTACATCTCCATGCGGGAGAACGGCCCCTTCCATCGAATTCATTTGTGGGTTTAAGGTTCAAGGTTTAGGATTTAGGGTTTGAGGAATGTAGAGGCTGTTGATTCTGGTGGTCTGGTATGATGCGGTCCAAGTTGATCGTGAAGGGCCGAAATCTTCGGCACCCTTGTTCTGTGCGATGCATTGGGGGAGATTACCATGTCTTCTCAGAGATTCATCGTTTCAGGTCTAGGGCTTCAGTTTAGAGGTCGATGATCCGGGGTGAATGGCCTTTCCTTCGGGGCTTACCTAATGCGAGGCCCTAAACCCTCTGCTTGGCGTGCGTGTGACAACCCTCTGCTATACGCAGGCTCGTTCACTGGTTTCCTTCTTCAGCTTGCAAGACAGGATCCGGGGTTTAGTCTTGCTAGATATTTGGATAGAGCTCCGGGTTCAGAAGAAAAGAGTTGTTTACGCCGACTCCAAAGCCTAAACCTCGGATTTTAGCGAAGAAGTTTGGTTCTGTGGTTCTCATTGCAGACTCGTCTGAAGAGGGTGGATGTTGGGTTGAGGGCTCAGTTTTAAGATGTGTAGGATCGAAGGCTACTTACTAGTTTACGTGGCCTTGCGAAGTGTTGGGTTCACGAGGCATTACGCCCAACGAGACCCAGCTCTGTTCCTTGCTGCGGGCGCTCTTCGGCGAGGAGGGACAGGAGCGGGATCGGAAAAAGGCACGCCTTGGGGCTACAAAGGGTTTAGGTAGAGTAGAGTCTGAGTAGAGAGCTTTATGGTTGAGGGCTGAAGGGTTCAGGGTTGGGTTGTCAGGCTTCGGGATTTTGGATTAAACCTAACCGTTACTCGGAAGGGCTTGGAGAGCTTCTGGGCACCCGACAGCTTTTCTGAGGGGAGGTACACTCGTTTGCTACGGCCATGCAGTTTTCCAGGAACTTGTCTAGTCAGAGGCGCGCTTTAGCAGGCTCAATCATAGCAAATTCGAGCATGAGTGTTGTGCGGGAGCCGTTGCGTTTGAGGTCTATCAGCCATGAGGGGTTGCTACAACTATTTTGCAAGCTGTGTGGCATCACCTGTAGTAATCATACTATAGTTTTCGCTTCAAGCGATTATAACCAGCGATTTGCAATTCCCAAGTCGCTCCTCGGAGGGCCTGGAGATCTTCCAGCAGCTTGTGGACGACACGAGTGTGAACCTCACGGAAGTCCATTTCGACATGGCGATCAATGTCTGTGAGAAGGATCGGTCGCACTAATTCAGTATTGATGTATTGCTCTTCTTGGACAACTTCCGGTGACATACCCCCCATTCCAGCGTGATGGGTCGTATTGTTGAAAGGCTATTCAGGTGCACCTTCGTCAGGGCTTACAGGCACTCGGAGAGCTCCATGATATTCAAAGCTAGAGGCTTTGGGCTCAATCCGAGTTGTCGAAGCACAACACTACGGATAATGAGCTGCATCCAGCTTGATGTTCGTAGCATGGACATACTGGCCAGGGATTTCTCTGCCCGTTTTGAAGCATGCCGCAGATTCAGAGTCCTTGGGGGCCTTATTTCTATTATTGATTACTTTGGGCGTCACACGTAATTAGCCATGAATTCTTACGGCAAAGCCTCCCTTGACAATCGCCGCATGGAGTCTATTATGTACGACAGTTTCTGAGAGCGGGGGCTAGCTGGGGTGAACTAAACCCCAGCTTGCAGTCGTTTGGCATGACTTCCCGACGTCAAGCCCTGAACCCCAAGGTCGCAACGGCCCCCCAAGCTCGAATCCGAGCCTGGTGAGCCCAAAACCCTATAGCCCAGAACCAAAGACCCTGAAGTCTGGGTTTACTGGTGTCTCCCTCATTAGAAGCTATATGCAGCTACGCCATAACGTACCTCCAGAACCCTACTCTAAGTGTTATAAGGCCTTGCGGAATTGAAGGACGGGTTGTGGAGAGAGATCCTCTCTCTGGCCACTGCGATGGGCTCCTGGGTGTTGACTTGGGGTGGGTTTGTCTCCGGGAGAGCTTGTGAAGAGTAAGGGCCCCGTAGATGAGAAGCATAAGGAAGCTGGTATAAGGCTTGTCGTTGGGGCTTCAAGGTTTGGGGCAGCTGAATAACCCTATACCCTAAACCCTTTGTCGGGTTTGGGCTTGAAGTGTGGGTTGTCATTTGTTGTTTCACGCCGACCTCGCACCGTGAACCTCGCCTGGCTTGTCCGAGTTGTGAGAGCGTAAACCCTAAGAAACGGTCGATGATACCTGGCCCCGAACCGGTTTGTACCGGATCCTCGCCTGGCTGTGCCCTGTTTGTGGGTGCTCCAAAGAAGCTTCCCAGTCCTCAAAGGCCCCAAGGAAGGACCCTTTTTTCGGGGATCCCAGGGCTGGGCCCAAAAAGCTAATTGCCCGGAAGCCCTTTTGAAATTTATGATCCGGGGATCAGCTAAACGAGCCATCGTAGCTGCAAGAACAGTTCTGAACCGAGGGGTGCGGTTAGATGCTTTGGGAGAGCAGGTTCACCTCCTCACCCGTTCTGTGGATAATGTCGGACGATGAGCTGCAGAAGAAAAGCCTCAAACCCTGAAAGCTGTAGCGGGGAAAACGGAGCTCAAGAACGAGCAAACCAAAACAACACCGCAAACGCAGCAGCACAAGACGACTCATTAACTCAAGGCTCGCGTGGTATCAGCCCACACTCGATGACCTGCAACGCCGTGCTTAAGGCCAGGACGAAGCCCCCCTGTGTTTTTTTGCTAGACCCCACGGGTTGTAGGATTTTGGGCGTAGGGTGGAGGGCACAGTAAGCCTTTGCTTAGCTGCTACATGCGTGGTTTTCATGACCGCAACTACGAAGTCCGGACTTCAAAACCTCGCTGAGGCATGCGGCTCAAAGCCGGGATCCTCAAGCTCAAAGGCTAATTCCTGCACCCGAGCCCTAAAATCGAGACCCTAATTCCTAGGCACCTGATAGACCTCGCCTGTCTAGTCCGAGTTGTGAGAAAGTGTGCTCCTACACCCTTTTCCCAGCTCTTGCCTGCCAGGCCTGCGTGCAGCTGGGGAAGTCGGATGTGGCCTTGAAGCTCCTGGGCACCATGGCCCGCGACGGCACGGAACTGGACACGAAGCTGGGGATGTAGGGTTTATTTAAGCTTAGGTTCGGTGTGTGGGTTAGTGTGCTAGGGTTTCTGGCTGCAGCTGTCGGAGGTTTGTTTCGAGTTTATGGTGCATAGGCTTTGGGATGGGGTAAGACGAAGAGTTACGGACTTGTCGGTTTCGGGATGTTGATAACAAGTTCGAGAGTCTTTGTATTCAAGTGTTTCGATCTGATGTATACGTCGTAGTATATGTGTCGGATGATAGCAGGGGCCCACCGGTCATCTAGCCTGCTTGAAGGGGCCCCGAGTGCATGCTGGGTCTTCATGGTGTTCGGCTTTGCTCAACATGGGCTTTGGAACATGGCCCACGTGGCTTTTGAGTTTCAGGCTCAGGGGTCGGAGAAAGGGTGTGGGGGGTCGCAGTATAGGTTCGGGCACGTTGTCAAAATCATCGTATAGACTCGTGAGCGATTGGCAGCTTTGTGAGTTGGAGGAAGGAGTTCCAGCCCAAAGGTGTCTTATGAACGTGTTTGTTACAGCTTGACAGGATAGCCGTGAACGTGAAGCGTGAAGCAGAGACTCTCCGTGTCATGCGGTGGAAAGACACGAGAAGATTTCCCGCCCAAGCCTGGGGCCGTGAGGATCGTGTCGCCTACCGGACCGTGCTTGCTGCTTGTGCACGGGCGCGAAGCTGGGACGAGGTGCCTTATAAGTCATCTAGGGTATAGGGTTCCGAGTTGACTGCAAGAAGGGGCCCCGCAGCCTGAGAATTCCTTCTCCCAAGTCCCCCTATCCGTTAACCCTAAAGCCGCGCTAGAGCCGCAAAATTACATGCCCTCGACTGCATTGAGTGTCTTAGCCGACCCGAAGCGAAAGTTGAAGTCCTGAGAGGAAGTTAGAGTGGAAAGCTGAAAGGGGATTGGAAAGGCTCTATAATTATCAGGGCTAGGGACCCTGATTGCAGTTAAGGGGCTGGGGGCTTGTGGGAAAAGTTTCGGCCTCAGAGCCCAACAAGCCCAGACTCAAGACTTTGGCAGGTGCTGAAGCTCTACGCGGAGGTGGAGGCAAGCGAAGGGAACACGCCGAGAACATGATGCCGTTTAGGCTTAGGGGTTTAGCACAGTAGCTGACATAAAGCTTGAATCACGACAGACATAGCTGCCCGTATTTCGGGCCCCCTCTTCCTGGATGTGGTATGCCGCAGCTGGTCGCGAGCCGTTTCAGCTTTCAGCTGACGACCTCTTTACAAGCATCCCCCGGCGTTCATCATCAGCATTCTCATCGCCAGCAACACTGGCATCATCAGCACCGTCGGTGCTCAGTGAAGCCGTGAACTCTAAGCACTTCAGGGCTACTCGTATTATTATGATCATCTTCCCCCCTTTCCACCGGTAACCTTGGTGATTGGTTCTGTCATTTTCAACCTGTACCTTGTTTCTTTCGAGTTCCCAGCTCGGTTTAGGCATTGAGCGTTCGGTTTCAGCATGTGGTTTCGTCTGGGCGATTTTGATAAATGGCTGGCAACACCCCTTAGACTCCTTCGACGCCCAACTCCCTAAACCCTCAGCCCCAAGCTTAACTGTGAAATCACTGTCACTGTAAGGCCGAGCATCCCAGCTTTCTTGGACCTGACCTGGCCCTGCCGGCTATCACCGCCATGTGTGAGGTGCCTTCGCCTGTGAAATCCCTAACCGCGCAACCGCAAAACCCTAGCTCCAGCCCTTGGTTCCTGCGTTGCTTCAGCTTGATTTTCGACGTTGTTCATAGTCCACAGCAGTTGCTACTGCTACTGGTACTGCTACACTGCTACTACTGCTGCTGCTGCTGCTGCTGCTGCTACTACCACTACTACTACCACCACTGCTGCTTCTGCTACTACTAGAGCGACGACGATGGCATTCATCATCCTACGAATGGTCGATGTGTTTAATAATGAAGATATATAAGCAACAAGGTGAACCGAAGCATTTGCAGTGGTTATGTTAGTACGTCATAGAAATATGTTATTAATCAAACCTAGACTCCAAAGCAACTGCAAGGATGAACTGGTTCCGGACAGTCAAGATCTTCATACCAGGTCGGCCAGGTAGACCCTGAGGCTCCAAGGCCCCGAACCCCAAAAAGCTCCCAGGCGTGGGGAGGTGTTGGGGGGGGGGGGGGTCGGGGGATGGGCGGCGGCAAATGAACGCTGAAGAATGGGGTCCTTATTGCAAGCGCCCCGAAATGAGGTACTCCTACTTTCTGTGCCCCCCCAACACCACGGCTCAGTTAGGAGGTGTCCAACTGTCTCTTCCTCGAACGCGAGTGCCTTTAACTACGGAGCCATAACCATCGGGACCCATCAGCTGAATCATTCATGCCTGCACTCCTCTCAGGACTGTGCTGACATGCAGTCTGAGCGCGCATGCCCGAACTCTACAGCCTGCAGGATTGAAACACCTAGTCTGAGAGCCTAGACCTAGTCATCGCCGGTCGCCAGGTCGGCCGCAATGATGTGCCTCGGCTGAGATTCTCTGGCTAAGCGTAGATTTGATTTGTTGCTGCTTCCTTTTCCCAGCAATCGCCTCTTTTGCAGTCGTTTCTTGCGAGCATCTCACGACATGATAGTGATGGTGATGATGCTGGTGCTGGTGCTGGTGCTGGTGCTGGTGCTGGTGCTGGTGCTGGTGCTGGTGCTGGTGCTGGTGCTGGTGCTGGTGCTGGTGCTGGTGCTGGTGGTGACGATGACGGTGATGGTGACGGTGATGGTGGTGATGATGATGATTGACGCGGCTGTAGCCGTCACGAAGTAGTTGGTTTGGCATGGGTTCTATTCTCTGTTGGTGGTTAAGGTTGCGGTGCAGCCACCACTGCCGGTGGCAGTGGCAATGGCTGAGTTGATGGCGATGGCTGTTGTGTTGCTGCTGAGGTTGCGTTCGGCTAACCCCCCGCATCCAACGTAGGGCCACCAAACATTTCTACTGTACCATTTAAACTGCAGGGTCTGGAACTGGAGCCCTAACCCGGAGGCTCGAAGCCTTAGACCCAACCCCCTGAGCCATCGGCCCAAACCCCGGATAGCGGCTAGGGCAAATCGTCAAGCAACCAACACAACACACAGGAAGCGATCGCGCTGTACCGAGAGACCTTCGGGGGCATGCTGGCCCAGCAGCAGACTAGGCTCCCTGTTGCAGCAAGGCGGTTTTCTGTGGTGGGAGGTCGTGTTGTGAACCACTCAGTCCTATGGTCAAAGGTGCAAATTCTTATGCCCAGAACTTCTTACGAGGCTCGAGGTGTGCGTAGGAGGAGTGCTTCAGAGGCCTTCTTAGCAGGATTTGCCATAACCCTTTGACATCAAAGACTTCCGGGTGCAGGGCTCCCTGCATCCGATGCCTCACATGGAACTTGTGCCAGAGCAAGGGGAATGGGGTTTAGGATGTAAGGTTTGTTGCCTCTGTTCCTGGCATATGGATAAGACTTGTTACTCATGGTTTCATCGTTTCGGGTATAGGGTTTGGATTTCAGTAGTGAACCCGAGCACACGGCGACAGAAAACAAGCCTCAAGCAGGCCTTCTGGTTCAGATCCCATCGTCCTCGATGCGCAGGGACCCCTGGAAACTTGGGTATAGATCTGTGTGGGTGTGTGGGTGTGTGTCTGTGCGCCTTTTGGGCCATGGTCTTAAAAGGGTAATGCCGGAGGACTGGAGGATACAGAATCTTTCTGAGTTTAAGTCAGGCACAAAGCAGGGTTGTGCGAAGGGCCGTTTGGTGCGGGTTTATGGATCTGGGCGGCATCTTCAAGCACGCGGCTGCCTAACTATATGGTATTGGGCACTACAAGTGGATACTGTGATATCCCCTGGTAAGATTCAAAGTTGGTGTGAATTAACAGCGTTCAGAGGCGGGGTTCTCATACAGCAGGGAGATACAAGTGGAGTGCTTGTAAGGTGATTGAGGTTCGTCATGTGAAGCTTCTAGTGGGCTGTGGGGCTTGTAAAATACTGTCTGGAAGCACACTCGAAAAGACGGCCTGAGTAGGGCACCCTGGTGTGCCTCAAGAGGCGTTGAGGATTGCTGGCGATGGATTCGGTGGTGCTGTGGGGATGTGGATACTCGGTCGAGGGGTTCCGAACCACGCTCGAGTCGGCGCACTCTATTTGGCCTCGAGTTGTCGTGTCAGCACCGGTCAAGCCAAGCGAGTCCATTTTGGTCTTTATCAAAACGAGAGTGCCTCGTCATGGCCTCTCGAAATAAACAGTGTAGAGTTTTAGGGCCTCAACCCAAACCCAAACCCTGACATTCTTCCAGGCGCAGGCTGTCTCCCCAGGTGGCCGCGGCCTCAAAAGACATGGGCCTTGCGGTTCACAGCACCAGAGAGTATGAGTATGAGGTTTATGGGTTCGGGTTTATGGCTGGTCAGGAGTGTAGGGTTTGGGCATTGAGGGCTTGGTCGCTAGAGGGTGGTGGTGCATCTGCCCTAGTCCTAGACGTCGTGATGCTGGCAGTCAAACCGTTTTTCCAGGTCTGCTTCGGCAACTGTATGGGGTCTTGCGGTGCACGGTGTTGTAGTGCGCTGTTAGAGGTGATGATTCTTCGGAAACCAGCTGCTGCAAGAATCCACCATGGGTGGTCTTCATAGCATGGAGATGGTGCTGCAGAAGTGTTGGTTTGAGCAAGGGATGCGCGCTGGCCAATGAGCTTGGGCTTTGAAGGCTTCAAGTACATGGCCTGGGGAAGTTCACTGTCAAAACGTGGCTCAATGCGGTTGACAGCCACCCGCGACATCCTGGGCCCTGATAGCCCTTAATCCGTAAGCCGAGGAAGAACAGGCGCTTTGCTGGTTACGTACTCTTGATGTATCTATAGCACCATATATCCTGAACCTCCTGCTGCTTCTTTGCAAATTCAAAGGCCTCCAGCTCGTGGGGGGACTGATGGCTTTTCAAGTTCAAGGCTGTAGGGCCCCCCTTAAACACTTAATCCCAGAACCCAAAGCCTACCGAAAGGATCCCAAATGGATCCATAGCTGACCTTGCAAGGGCGGCATCCTCATGCGGTGTGCATTGGAAGATGCAGTTGCCAGCCGGGGTCCCGCAACATACTGGGCTGAGAGCGAGAGGCTAAGCCTAAGCCCTGGGGACAACAGTTAAGGGTGCATGAAGGTGCCGATGTCGGTGGTGAGCTCAGGGATCATACAGGAAAGAGGTTCCCTCCTTCAAAGGCTCTTGCACCTTTCTTGGGTCGGTGGGTGCAGGGTCTGTCGAAGTTGAGGATCCTCAGCCTGCTTGGCCTCCGGCTTTAGGCGAGGGTGGTGAGAGGTCAACAGTAGGGTAGTCTGGTACCACCTCTGAAAGCCTGAGTCTTTAATAATGTACCACCAAAGCCGTTCCCGGTTGTCGTGCTGATTACTACGGCAAACCGCCGACAGCAGAGATGAGACTAGTCGGACTACTCTTTGGGTTGCAAGCCGGTGGCGGCAACGCAACATAACGTGCATCATCGCAGCAACAATGCAAACAAGATGATGTGCCATGTCCCCAAGGCCCGGCACTGACAAATGCGTGGCATTCCATGGTGCCTGGCAGCCACTGTCAACTCCGAGCACATGTAGTATTCTGCGAGATGTACCATGTCGCCATCAACCCCGCAAGACTCTGTGACCGCAAGCAAACAAACCTTCAGCAAGATTGCCCCTGAAACCCCCCAGGCCACAAACCCAACTGAACCTGGTTTCTCCCCATACCCTGAAATCTGAACCTGGGCCTTCGGTGGAACTTCCTTCCCGCCAAGGAGCCGACGCCACGGCGGCCAGAGCTGCTCCGCGAATGGTCGCTTGGAGCAATTCTTGAGTTTGGGGTTTAGGGTTTAGGGTTTAGGCTTCACGGTTTATGTAGGAAAGTAGAGACCTTGTTTTG